CATCCCCGCGGCTGAGCTGCAGCAATTCCACCCGCTCGCTCTTGTCTCCCCTCTGCCGCCAGAGCTTCGCGTTTGACGACGACGGCGACGCGGCGGATGAAGAAGAAGTGGACGAAGATGCCCACGACTCGGAGGCCGAGGGGGCGAGCCCGGGAGGAGTGGAGTTGCAGGGGCGCGCCAGGTAAAAGCGAGGCCGCCGTAGGCCCTTCCGTGCACCTCCTTCTGTGGCGAAAGCCCCCCTGCCGAGGCCCAGAGGCTGTGAGCTGGTGCTCCTTTCTGCACACAGGCCTGGGCCCATTCTTATACATGACCTCACGTTTTCTGTGATCCTTAATCCCTTTTCAAACTGAGGATATGATGACTGCTACAGTCTCACTCCCCAGATAGAAGTACATAGTCACAAACACGCACAATTTTGCTACCATTTCAGGAGTTGTATAAATACTCAAAAATCTTATTGTGAGCATCAGAACTCTTGTCCAAACGTAAAAAAAAAAAATTTATTTCAGAGAGAGAGAAAGAGAAACATCAATGATGAGAATCATTGATTGGCTGCCTCCTACACGCCCCACACTGGGGATCGAGCAACCGGGGCCTGTGCCCTTGACCTAAATGGAACCGTGATTTCCTGGTTCATAGGTCGATGTTCAACCACTGAGACGTGCCAGCTGAGCATCTTGTCCAAACTCTTAACACCAAAACATGGCCCACTGCACCTTGGTAGTACCTGTAGTTATTTGGGGAAAAAAACACACAAAACAAACCTGATTGCCAGTGAAGTAGCTTGTCAGAAGCAGTATACTTTTTATGTCACAAATAAGGAGAGGAAGCAGAGAGAGTTTAACAATGTCAACCTCATTATCCAGAGACAACCTTGGGTCAGATCTGAGCACTGAACAGTGGAATAGGAGTCAATGAATCAAAGACTGTTAGAACCAAAGAGATTATTAAAACCATCTAATTTGTTTATTTCTACAATTATTCTTTTGGCAAACATTTAGTTTGTGTCACATATCAATCTACATACTGGGGACTATGCACAAGATAAACGTGGTCTCTACTCCCGTGGAATTAAAGCCTAGATCAAGTCACTCATTTTACAGATAATAAAACTGTGGCTCGGAATACAAATAAAAAGTCTGATTCAAAGGCATACACCCAGTTATTAGCAGAGCTGGTTGGGCCTAGTACCAAGCTATAGCAAATTGCATTATCACTTCCCTGTACTAGATGCCTATTACTGGATATGTAGAAATGAGAGCAAAGGGCCCATTCCTGCAGGAATATGTTTTTCTGAGACAGGCATTCTGGAGTAGGTTCATGATGTGATCTTCAGAAAACAGTTACAAGTTTCCGATTATCCATCATTGTAAGGCATAGTACAGGAGATCTAAGAAATATAGACCCATGTTTTATGTATAAGCATCAAGATAGTTTCCTTCATATAAGGC